GGGATTTGAACTCAGGGTCTACACCTTAAGCCACTCCACCAGCCCTTTGGTTTTTTTGCAATGGGTTTTTCAAGATAGGGTCTCTTGAATTGTTTGCCAGGGCTGACTCTGAACCATAATCCTCCTGATCTCTGCCTCCTGAGTAGTTAGGATTACAGGTGTGAGCCACGGCACCTGGCCTATCTCTCTTATTTAGAGTGAGATAGCTTTGTGTAGAAGGACAGAGCTTTACATCTGGCAAACCATGTTAACAGAAATGAGCAGAAGCCAGCTATGTTTTATTTTTTAGAGGAGAGCACCACTGTCAGATCCAGTGGTCTTTTCCTTAAGCAGGTGGCACCCTCCAGTGGGTTCCTGAAACTCTCGTGCAGGGACAGGAGAACCTGGAGAGGATAAGGCTGAAGAGTGTCCTCACTCAGCATGCAGCGTCACTGTCCTCCATCCTGAGAACAAGAGCCCAGAGTTCACTGGGGAGTGAACTTCCAGGGAGGGGCCGACTCTGGCTATGTCAAGTCCCAAACTATACAGGGTTAGAACTACAAGCCTTCCATTCAATTCCACCTCCCAGCCTGCAATGGGCACATTCAACCCTGGGTCTCTGGGTTGTGACTGGGAGCTGGATCAACCTCTCACCACCTCTGGACCTCTCATGCACGCTGGGTCTCTGCTTCCACATTGGCTTGACAGGTTCCCTTTCTTCCATCTTTTTCCAAGTTCTGCAGCATCTCCTCCTGGAGGCCATTGCCTGACCTATCTGCTTTTCCCTTCTGGGTCTCCATTGTCTCTATTCCTTGACTTCTGTTTTAGTGGCTTCAGAAGGAACGAGGTATAAATGGGAGATTCACCTCATCATGTTGTACATACAGCAATACAGAACAACGCATTCCTCCCAGGCAGGCCTCACGCAAGACCTCTTGCTGTTCCCTACCTAGTCCTCCTTATTCCTCTCTTCAATTTTCTAGCCCATCTTAGCCTTTCAAGGTTTAGCTCAGGCACCATCTCCAACAAGAAACTCTCAGACCTCCCTGCATATGCTTTGTGTGTCCCTATCCTGGTCCACACCACACAGATCACCAGGTACTGAGTGGATCCACTTCCCTGTCTATCTCCCTCACTCAGCAAGAAGCAAGTGGGCCAGGATTGGGTCTCCATCCCTGTTCAGTCTCTAATAGGGACAGGAGGGTGGGGGGAGATGACAAATCACCTGGCACAGAATATAGGCTCACTGATGTCCGTTTGGCTGCCACATTCAATTCCCACAGGAGAGCAAAAACTATGCCATGTTTATTTACCAACATCCAAACTAAAAAGGCTAATCAGAGAGCACCAGGAAATGAAAACAGCCAGATGTTCCTAAGAACACAGGTCCAGGAACACAAAACAGCCCACAATGGGGGCAGGGTGTATTTTCCTGATTCAATGTGAATGTATGCTTATTAGGCAGACAGAGAGAGAGAAGAGAGAGGTTTACTAGGTTCCTCTGCTAATGCTGCAATTTTAAATCCATTCAAGATAATTTTCTTTATCTTCAATTTATTTTTCTCAGTAACCAGGATACTTAACTGATTTGCACAAAATCCATTTGAAAGAGAAATAATTACTCCAAGCCAAGCCACTAAATGGAAAAAGAGACATTGAAAACCTAAAAGAAAATGGAGTCTGTTTGAGAAGCCAGGGTGGAGCCTTACCGAGAAAATGAGGCTTTTGCTCCAGTATCTAGATTTTGTGATCCTTGTTTTCTCTATTTCGCAAGGAGAAAATAATTCCTAAATCTAAGAGTGATGAACAAAGACTTCCCATGAGCCAGCCAAGATGCAAGCAACCCATTTGAAGTAAGAATTTAAAAAAAAAAAAGTGTCATTGACACAGTGATGGATGTACTGTCTCACCTAGCGACTTGGAAAGGCTGTTTTTAAAATTCGATTCTCCACTATCGGAAGGGTCCAGGAAAAGTCCAGTCAAAATAGAAACTGATATAAACTTTTTGAAGGAAAGTAATAAGGTATTTATCTGGCGTCCCAACAATATTCCTGTGTCATGAATAAGGACTGTAAGGTTAAAATCGTAGATTAAGAAAGTGTCAGATCAACACACATAAAAATGTGAGGGACAGAACAGTCACTAGAGTGTAATATAGAATAATGAAGAATTGAAAGTAACCCAAACTTTTAATAATGATCACACTTAATAACATCAAAAAATGCTTATGGTATAATGTCAAAGAAGGAAGATAAGAAGAAGTCAGGTGCCAGTAATGCTCACCTATAATCCTAGCTATATGGGAGGCTGATATTTTAATATTTAAAACCTTTCCCACCGAGGGGCTCTGTAGTTGCTTTTAGACCACTTCTAAAACAATTTAACTTGTTTTCCTTTTCAGTGCTGGGATCTGAGCTCAGGGCCTCCTTAGGCAAGTGCTCTCCACCCTTGAGTCACACACACCCCAGCATTTTTGCCTTTTAGTTCATTTTTCAGATAGGCTCTCATGCTAACTTTGTCCAGGCTGGCCTCAAACTTGTGATTCTCCTACCTCTACCTCCCAAGCAGCTCGGATTATGAGTGTGCACCCTACTCTTGGCCCCTTGCTTTTTTATTTAGTTAATATTTCATAACCAGCAAGAGTCCTCAGTCAACTGACTGTGGAGGAGACTAAGTCATAAAATGAAAGAACCCCCTGCTATTTACAAATCACAGAAGACAATGTCACAGGTTCAGATTCTTAAAACCACTCTGCATAGCTGAACTGGAACTTACTTGGTAGGCCGATAATCTGGAATGGAACGATCCAGTGAAATCTTTTCACTGAGGTAGGAATTGTAGCCGTACTTCTCGTGGGGTCCTTTGGCTTTCTCTTCCTCAGCCGGGGAAAGGGTGGCAGGAAGGCCCCCTTTGCCCCGCCCACCATAGCCTTCAATGAGCCCAAGGGATTTGGACAGACCTAGAAAAAGGGCGGGGGGAAAAGAATTAGTTTTAAAACCATCATTGCATATAGAATTTTCAAACCTGTGGAAATCACCGTAAGAAAGGGACTAAGGTAGAAAGGAGAAAAATGGAGGGGATGAACCAATTCAGATTATAATACATATATACATGAAAATGTTACTAGGAAACTCCCTGTACAGCTATCTTAAACAAACAAAAATGTCTTTTTAAAAAATGAAGGACAAGAAGGTAAAATAGTTCCTGTCTCGGGGCTGGCACCAGTAGGAGCGAAGAAGACATAAGGAAAGGGTGTAGGAGGGTGAATATGGTGGAATATTATGTACTCGTGTATGAAAATGGAAAATGAGACTTTCTGAAACTACTCTAAGAATGAGGGGAGAGGGTAGAAGCTATTCTAAGAATGATAGAGGGGTGAAATCAACTAAGATATGCTGTAAGAACTTTTATAAATGTCACAATGTATCCCCAGTGCAATCATAATATGATAATAACAAAATAAAACCACCATTCCAGATGTGTCACTCAATCTGAGATACAGCTTCCAGAGAGATCTAACATCACTTGTCCTCACCTGTGTCCCCTGATAACCTTTCCATGGAGGGGGAGGTCAAGGCGACAGTGAGTTCTGGAGTTAATGTCTGGTCACCAGTGGACTCTTCTCCAGCCTTTGGGGAACTGAGGTGGAACAGGGTTCAATAAAAGGAAGAGACCAGCTGAACCTGGAGAAATGAGGACCAAGAGGGTCCTGGGAGATGGGCCTTCCGGAAGTGGGGTGTTGTTCACCCGTTTTCCTTTCTCTATGGGTAAGGGCAACCAGATAAGACCTGGAGGCCGCCTCACCCCTGTTAGAATAGCCATCATCAGCAACACCACCAACAACAGGTGTTGGCGAGGATGCGGGGAAAAAGGAACCCTCTTACACTGTTGGTGGGAATGTAGACTAGTACAACCACTCTGGAAAAAAATTTGGAGGCTACTTAAAAAGCTGGACATCGATCTACCATTTGATCCAGCAATACCACTCTTGGGGATATACCCAAAAGACTGTTACTCCAGAGGCACCTGCACATCCATGTTTATTGCGGCACTATTCACAATAGCCAAGTTATGGAAACAGCCAAGATGCCCCAGCACTGACGAATGGATTAAGAAAATGTGGTATCTATACACAATGGAATTTTATGCAGCCATGAAGAAGAACGAAATGTTATCATTCGCTGGTAAATGGATGGAATTGGAGAACGTCATTCTGAGTGAGGTTAGCCTGGCCCAAAAGACCAAAAATCGTATGTTCTCCCTCATATGTGGACATTAGATCAAGGGCAAACACAACAAGGGGATTGGACTATGAGCACATGATAAAAGCGAGAGCACACAAGGGAGGGTGAGGATAGGTAAGACACCTAAAAAACTAGCTAGCATTTGTTGCCCTTAATGCAGAAAACTAAAGCAGATACCTTAAAGCAACTGAGGCCAATAGGAAAAGGGGACCAGGAACTAGAGAAAAGGTTAGATAAAAAAGAATTAACCTAGAAGGTAACACCCACGCACAGGAAATCAATGTGAGTCAATGGCCTGTATAGCTATCCTTATCTCAACCAGCAAAACCCCTTGTTCCTTCCTATTATTGCTTATACTCTCTCTACAACAAAATTAGAGATAAGGGCAAAATAGTTTCTGCTGGGTATTGAGGGGGGAGCGGAGGGTGGAGTGGGTGGTAAGGGAGGGGGTGGGCAGGGGAGAAATGAACCAAGCCTTGTATGCACATATGAAAAAAAAAAAAAAAAAAAAAGACCTGGAGGCCGGAAGGAAGCTGGCCCTCCACAGAACCAAAGCCCCATGCCACAGGTAACCGGCCAAGTGCAGGAAGCAACATGCAGATTGACGTTCTCATGAGTTTGAAATGTGCAACACCTCTCACAGCTCTTTGCCTAATGGTCTGATTTACATTTCATCTAAATGGCAAAAGGAAATGCAAAATGTTTGAGAGTAAATCACAGAGGAAAAAACCCCACAGTGCTAAGAGTAGGAGGCCTGTGTCACAGCGTCAGCGAGCAATGGCAAGCTCCCGGCCTCACGCCCATGCGCCACTGTGTCCTAAGCAGCCCGGTGAGCGCTATGAGAGATTTTACCACCTAGCTAGAGACTTCTGTGGTTATGGCTTTCGTCCCCTTTTGTCATTTCAAATGCCCAAAGCTACTCAGTCCACACACACGTACACACACATGTGCAAATGTATGCCACACGTGCCTGTTTACCTGTACCCAGTATCCAGACTTCACTCCCACTATCAGCCGGAGGAATACGATTAAAGATGCAAACAGCTCTGCAGACTTTGGGGTGGGCAGCTTCCTCCCCCACACCCCTCCCCCAAGACGGCTAAAGGTCAACAAATAAGCCCTGGTCACAGGGCTGGGCTGCACCACATAACAGCAAGGCTACTACTCTTCCTTGTGACTCTGCAAAGAATGGTCTGTCCCCTAAGGTAGATGGAAGGCAAAGTCCAGGCGAGCAGCTCATAGTCAAGCTCAGGTTGGACGTCATTCCTCTGATGGAGAATCCTTTCCAAGATTCTCTGATGTTGTTCAGGACCCCAAACCTCTGTGCTCCATGCCACTTTAACAGTAGGGACCCACTGACCGAGAGTTAGATTACGCCAACACTTTGTACCTGTGTTGTTCCTTCAGTCTTGCATTCCACACCAATGAGGGGCAAATAATCCAACATCGTCTTGACCAGGCTTAAAAATCCTCCCATGTGAAGTGCAAACCTCTGTGCTTGCTTTTAAAATCACTTGTCACCATGGAGGTGGTGCACGTCTGTGAAGCCAGCACTCGGGAGGTGGAAGCAGGAGGATGGAGGGGTCAAGGCCAGCTTAGGCTACATAGCAAGCTCCAAGGCAGCGGGGCTACATAAAGTTGGCAAGACCGGGTCTCAAATAAAATAAAATCTCTTGTGAAAAAAACGTTACTAGGAGAAATATAAAATTGGGCTGTCACTGGGAAAAATTTGGTGGTTCTTCAACGTGCCAGAGGTAATTACCATACGACATGGCAATTGTGTTCTGAGGTATGTATCCAAGCAAAATACAAATGTATGTGTACACAAAACTCATGCACAAATGTTCACCACAGGTTTGTGTACATTTGCATAATGTCCATCAACTGATGGAGAGAGAAACAAAATGACAAACAAGCTGTAGTCACACAATAGGATATTTGACAAGAGCGAAGAATGAAGCTGCCAGGCATGGCATGGCACTCATCGGAAATTCCAACACTTGGAAGGATGAGGCAGGAGAATCAAGAGTTCAAGACCAGCCTAAGTTAAATGGTGAGACCTTATCTCAACAAATCAAACACACAAACAGAAAAACAGAACAAAAAAACAATAAAGTAATTGTCTTTACCTCATGGCTAATTCTTGAAAGCATTATCAAGTAACCAAAGCTGGTCATGATTTTGTTTATATGGTATTCGGTTTTGTTTATATTCAACACACAGACTAGACAGTCCATGCAGCCAGGAAGGGGATCCACAGTTACTGAAGGCTGGAAGGACCTGGGGAGAACTGGAGAGGTCTGAGTTTTCTTTTTGAGGTGATGAGAATATTGTCGGGTTTGATTGTGGTAAAGGCTGTAAGATTTTATGAATATATTAAGACCCGTTAAATTGTATACTTTTTTTTTTGAGATAGGGTCTTGCTATGTAGCCCAGGATGACCTTAACTTTTCAGTCCTCCTGCCTCAGCTTCCTGAGTGTTGAGTTCACAGGCAGCTGTACACTTTCAAATAAATGGATGATATGGGACCTATAAAATACCTCAAGAAGGTGTTCTTTAAAAATACCCTCTTGTGACAGACAATTCTGTTTACAGCAAGGTAAGATGGGGAGCTACACATTATAAAAACCTTCCAGTAAAAGGCAGAAATGCTTGATAAAATTATTTTAAATAGTGTAAAATATACAGCTGAGCTTGCAAGGAAGAGAAACTCCTGGAGGTGGGCTGAAGTCAGAACTGAGACCATCTCCTAAGAGAGGAAGAAGGATGAACTGCTCCTAAGCCAAAGGCTGAGTTTTAGAATTTAAGCCCGTGCAGGATTTTGGACTGCAGTTTCTCTGAAAAATAGAATTGAAACTGAAATAGCTGTAAACGTTTGGACCCATTTGAGGTGATATCTTTCTTCAAAAAAAATATTTTTCTTTAATTCAAGGGCCAACACAGTAAGTCAATCAAGAAGACTGTCTTTGCTGGGCATGGTGTAATCCCAGTACTCTGGAATGCTGACAGGATAATCGCAAATTCCAGGCCAGCTTGAGCTACATAGTGAGACCCTGGCTCAAAAAAAAAAGTTACAAAATGCATGTTAGAAAATGCATGAACCAGACAGCATGAGTGCACACACACACACACACACACACACACACACCCCACTTTTAGGATTCAAATAACTTCAGATAATACAAAAAGCACTATAAAATAGTATTGGTTTAACAGAAGATCAAAAGTCCTAAAAGAGAATAAGGTTCTATGAAGTGGCAAGCAGATCTGAAAACTATTAACAAATGAAAATTTCCATAAAAGAAATATGTTACAATTTACCGAAACATTAAATTCTTGCATTAAGAATGTTAAGGCCAGGCGCTGGTGGCTCATGCCTGTAATCCAGCTACTCAGGAGGCAGAGATCAGGAGGAGCACGGTTCAAAGCTAACCCCGAGGCAAACAGTTCACAAGACTCTATCTCAAAAATACCCAGCACAAAAAAGGACTGGTGGCATGGCTCAAATGGTAGAGTGCCTGCCTAGCAAGTGTAAAACCCCAAGTTCAAACCCCAGTACCACTCCCCACAAAAATCACTTGTTCAGGGAATTTTACAGGAAGGAAGCATTCAGTATTGAGAACATGATGAACTGTAAATCAATGGCACTGTATTCGTATGAAGGAGTGCTATACAGCAATGAAAACCACTAGACTGTTGTTACATGTATCAAGTAGGTGAATCTCAAAGATATAATATAAAGCAAAAAGCAAGCTTGTAATTTCCTCTATACAAAGTTTCAAAACTAATGGAAGAGCAGTTTACCGATATAAACTTACAGAGTGAAATTACAAAGGGTGGCAGAAGAGAGTGGGTTATGGTTGCGGAAGACACGAAATTACTTGTCAGTGCTCCAATGCAAAGCAGAGAGGAGGATTCAGCTAGTATCCCGTATGTAACCGTAAGGCGCCATGTTTGAAGTGTCAAGTATTGCACAAATTCAACAACTCATGGACTACGTTGTCTTCTTCCCTGGGGTGCTGTTACCAACTCACTCTGGATTTTCCCTTTTTCTTTCCAGAAGTTGCTGACGTTTCTCATAAGCCACAAACTCAGCCTCTCTGACGCCCCCAGCACCATGGGCCCAGACTGCAGTGCTCCCCAGTGTGGTTTGTTCTCTTGGAACGCATGTTAAAATTTAATGTTCTTTGTGAACTATTAAGATGAAAGACCTTTAAGGACCATTGGGTCTCAGTCCTCATGAATGGATCGATCCATTCGTGCTATTAATGGATTCATGAACTGATGGGGCTGTCTCAAGAACGAGTCTGCTATCCAAACAAGTTTGGCTTTCTCCGCCTCACTGCCCGTCTCTCACCATGTGATATCAGGTGCTTCCTGGAGACCCTGCCAGCAAGACCACCGTCACCAGATGCAACCCCTCAACCTGGGACCAGAGCTTGTCATCCACCATGTCACTTAGCGTGGCATTGTGTATTCAGCCACAGACAACACACCGAAGAGTCCAATGCTGAGACTATCAGAAAAGGACAGAGGTAAACCTAGCAGCTTCAGGGGCATCTGATTCCTCCTCCTACTTTGCGTGGTTTGGTTAGCACGTCTTTTTCTTCCCCTGATGATACAAGGTTTCTTTGTTTTAGTCTAAGTAGATCACTTCCAATCTCAACTCATTGAAGTCCATCTCAGAGCTAAAACAACATGCTTGCCCAGCGTTCTCCCAAGGGCAGCCTTCGTGATGCAGGCAGAAGGGCCAGGAAGGGACTTTATTTTAAGACAGCACAGAAATTAAGACTAAGAACACAGGCTACTCCCACCATCGATGCTCAGGGAATGATGGTTCCAAATGAAAATTTTCTCTCTCTGGTTTTCTGTGGCATTACTTCTCCCATTATGAAGTCACTCACTTAGCAGCAAAAAAAAAACCAACAACAACAACAAAAAAAAAACCCCAACATTCCTCACAGTGCAATGTGACAACTATGAATTATATATTTCATGGTCCATATGCTCTCATTTTCCCCCCAATTTCATCTGCCAGAAAGGTGCAACAAAGCAGCAAAAATTTTCTCTGGCATTTTAATGTGGTAACTTAGGTCCCTGGAAACTGTTGGCAAAGAGAAATAAAAGTTCAAGTTCACTGCTGAAGTGGTCTTTTTGAGGAAGAGGTGTGACTGGGGCATGGTGGGAAGGTTCTATGCACCCAGATGGCTTCTTTTCTAATGTGTCCTTCCTTTCTAGACGTCACAAGGACAAAGGGGAAGAAGCAGGGAGGAGGTGGGAAGGAAAAAGAATGGCCTGGGGAAATCAATCATTCCCTTGTCAGGCAGACAGCAAAGTCAAGTGACTATTAGGCAAGAAGTGGAAGAGAAGGGGAGGAGACAAGCTGAGGACAGTCACCCGAAGGGCAGCCCCTGTACCAATCCTCTCCATCCTCTGCTGCACACCCCAGGAGAAAGACCTACGCGGACCACTCAAAGGTTCCCTTGCTCTCTGGTTTGGGCATGGGTTCCACCAATAGAAGACGCCTGGATGGAAGGAGGGAGCAGTTGCAGAGCTGATTCCCCCAGTGCCCTCCCTTCTGCGCTGTGGTTTGGTGAACGTTGCCTAGAAGGCCCCAGCTGGTATCCGGTATCTCCTCCCAGGGTTCCAGCCATTCTTGCATTCCATGAGCCAGGGCCTTTGTGTGCTCCTTCCGGCCTTGGGTGGCCACTGATTGTGCACTGCCAGTGTTAGGATCATGTCATTCTTCATCCCTGTCACTCCTTGTTGGTTTCCCGTAACTCTGCCCAAACCTCTGTAAGTACATTGTTAATCTTCCTCCTCCAATT